CAACGACCCCAAAGATATGTAATGGCGCATCGACTTCATAAGATATACATCGTGCCGGCCACCTGCTTCGTAGTGAACGTTTCCTTGCAGGCATAATCGGTCTGTGCAGCGATAACGTCCCAACCAATTGTTTCCGCATTGGTAATCAGTCAACATATTTAATCGATGCAACAAAAATTTTTACACAGATTAATTACTTTATTCAACGAACTGGAAAGCGTCTTTAAATAATAATTAATATATGTATATATATGATCGAGGAAGAAGAGAAGTGAAACTATTATATACGCACATATTAAAGAGTATTTCTTTGTTAATATTTTACTACATTTTTATTCTATTAAATAATTCGGCAAGTAATTATATATATGATTAATATATGAAATCTAATTGAAAGTTTAAACTAGATAAATTTTTAGCAATACCAAAATATCTGAAGCGAATCTTGATGCTTAATAACAATTGTGTGAGTAATACAATTTCCAATTCAGGTAAAATGCGCGCCGAATATTTGTCGGTCTTGAAACATCCTGGCTGAGGCAATATTTTTCGCAATAGGTTATTCTAGGATTTAATAAGATACTCATTGGCACCAAAAATTATTAAATTTCTTGTCAATTTAATTGTGATATTACGTAGTCCGGATTTAGTTTGAAGCTGTGTTTCAAAGCCGATAAATATCCGGCGCGCAATTTACTCAAACTAGAAATTGTACGATTCACAATTCAGCATCAAGATCCGCTTCAGATCGCATTTGGCATTATTTAATTATATATGATAATATCGATTATAAAATGTATGACTAGAGACGAAAAATTATCTTTTTCAAGATTTTTGTATTTTCACAGATTTTTCACAGACGAAGACCAAAATGGTCGGTCGAGAAGCTGAAAAATAATATCGTGGGGAGAGAGTGTGTATTTTTCGGCATCGCGCCTGTCGAACAAAAGTCACCCTCCGTAACGTTTTTACCTCGTCGAATTACTTCACAATGGATACAACACGACCCCTTTCGAGCTCGATTCTTTCCCCTTGGCGAGCAAGTCTTCTCTCTCTCTCTCTTTCTGTACACAAAACATAATTATTCGAAATCCCAACAGCATGAAACTTTTATTATTGATACTTTGATAGACGTAGTCCATTAGAGCATCAGCCGATTAATCCTTACATTCCTTACACGGCCAGGCGGTATGAAAAAATCTAGATGGATAATTTCTGCGGCATGATTTTATCGATTAATAATTGCAATCGTCTTCATTACATTCTTTTATAAATAAACCTAAATATCTTTTCTGATATTCGGGTAAATCTTAACATGATACGTAAAAGTAATAGAGAGTGAGAATTTATGTTATATAATATAAAAAGAGCTTTATTTCTCGAGCTTGCCGATATCTAACAAAGATTTCAGGGACGGTAGTCTCTCTCGCTAAATCGAACGGCGAGATGGAAAATGGACAAATTGCAGACTTTTGCGCTAAACACTGCAATTCGAATGTGCGAATATACCTTAATCGCAAAGCAACGCAGCGCCGTACGTGCGCACACGCGTGTGCGGCCGTCACATCGTCGAGATAATCGCTGAGATGCACGAGTCGCGATAGGAGGCCACCAAACGGCAGTTAAAGTCGATTGTACCGTAACGTCCGTGTGCGCGGCATGAAATATTTATACCACCGTGACGATTACAACGTCACACGTAACCGCGGACGGACGCGAGAGGGGGGGCGGAAGGAGAGGGGAGGGAAGGGGCTGACGATGATTACATTTACTTTTGCAAGGGGAGGAGAAAGGGGGACAATCGTTCGCGTTACCATCAGTTAGCAATGTTCGTGTTAGCGTTATTGCGCGAACCGAGGGGGCTCGTTTATACGGCGAAAAAAAATCTAAAGGAATTTCTCCCGCGAGCTCGTTGTAATTATACTTGCAAAAGTTACACGCTAATTAAAACTTCGACCACGCGACGTTAATAATTATTTCGCGTTCGATCCGACGACGATTTGTCATTTCGTTTCTTCGTTGACTAACGATAATTCGCAATTAAGCCGTCTATCGCGCACGCACGGCTGTTAGCGACTTTATATTCTTTCCGGATTGCTTAATTATTTAAGCTCTGGATTTGCAATACTTTTTGTGTCGCAATACCGGTCGAAGTACTTGTGAAAATCAGGTCCGAGATATTTTCACGACGTTTCGGATCTTTACGGCCGTCGTGTATATATTCATTTAATCGACTTGGTGCCTTTAAGAACCTCATGCAACTCACTCGCTTATGCAATTAACTTCTACCATACTTCGCGCTCGAGAGCGACGTAAAGTGATTACAAGCCGCTCTATTTTCCCGGGGAGTGACTCGTGCGCGAGCCGTGTATAACTTATATGAAGTTCACGCTCGGGCTTCGTGAGCGACGTAGCTGCTCCTATTTCGTAACGCGTTTAAAGCATAACGAGAACTCGGACGAGTTGTGCAGAAAGCACGGGGCGTCGTCGTTAAAAATGCATCCTCGCGTGACGCTTCTTCCCCATTCGTCGTCAGGCTTCGCCGCTGCGCGCGAAGTTTTCGTTCCTTTTTTTTTTTTCATCACGAACCCCGTGACACGACGCACGAAATCGGTAAGCCGCGACATATGCCAATTTTTAAATAACATCCCTCCGATAGACCGCCCACGGCGAACAGCTCGCTGAGGTAAAAGCTGAAGCAAAACTCCGTGTTGATGTCACGCTAATGAGCCATCTGGAAATGCAAGGCGAATTTTACAAGCGTGTTTTTTGCTGCTGCGTGAATTACTCAATAATATTAGTACATTAGAGAATTTATAAATTTTTAAACAAGATTAGGAAATACGATTTAAAGCGTATCTTCACTGCTAAATCTATTGTCAAATTGAACCCTATTTAAATCGCCATTACTCCTACCTAATATATAGTTATTTTTAAATGAAACAATGGAATTTAACCCAGATTTGAGTTAAATTTGAATTATTTTAAATTATTTAACTCTATTGTTTTAGTTAAAAACTATAAATTAAATAGGATCAGTGGAAGAGATAGAGTTCTGTAAATCTTAAATATCTTAAATAGAATTTAAAAATCTATTCTTAGAATAGAAATATTAAATAGAGTTAAATTGAACTATAGATTTAACAGTGTTGGTGCTTGGTAATAATGTTTTTGTGTGAATCTTAAAATTTCCAGTTCAGATAAACAGCCGATCGAATGTTCGTTAGTCTTGAAACGCAGCCTCACACTGAATCCGGACTACGTGATACCATAAATAGCATCAAAAATTATTAAATTAACAAGTAATTTAATAATTTTTGATGCTATTTTTGATAAGCATCTTATTCTTAACAACTATTTCTCCTATAGAATGACTTATTGCGCGAACAGATTATCTCAGTCAGGATTTAAACTTAGGCCTCCCTGCTCTCCGAACGAGCGTCTTATAAATTTTTGTATTAGTAATGCAGCACATTATAGTAATTAATTAAATATCTCAGAAAGAATATATTAGTCTTTCATCGAATGGTTAAGATACAATCTACGTATTCTTAATTATATGAAAATTAAGATGTGATAAAGTACGATATACAATATAAATAAAACATTATAAGATACATAATAATTTAACTTTCCTTCTAAACCTCTTCTTTCAGTATACATAAAATGTGAGAACATAACAGGGTTAGAAGCATAATGAGGTACAAAGCGCGCACTTATATAATTAGTCATAAATATCGATAACACTACTGCGTAAAACAATAATTTCGCGAGACAATAATATCCTTCGTAACAATTTCTCAGCACACGGCGTTTTCGCGCGAGGTAAATTTTCGTAAGAGAAATCTTGCGGAGAAATTTAACAGCTATGTACCGTCGGAAATCCTGAAGCATTCGCCGTGACGCGAAATATCGCAACGTACAAGGGGTGAGGTCGTTTCCAAGCGGCTCCCGCGGGGCCGGTAAACTCCCTTCCACGGACATTACGGTAAACGCGCGTTTCCGTGACTTTTTAATCGGCGAGGCAGGCAGGCGGGCGGACGCGCGGCGCGGCGTGGCGCGGTGAAGTAACTGCTCGTTTCGTCCCTGGCCTGGTGAATAATTCACCTCGATCGATCCAGCACCGACGGCGCGCGCGGCGACGGAATTAATTTAAGTAATTCGACGATCGCTATCGACGGAAGCATTAAATAAAGCACCGTGTGTGTCCCGCTTTGGGCGAGCCGCGCGCCGCGCCGTTTAGATTGTAGATCGCCGCGGACGCGGCGGTCCCACGCGCGCCGCGTCCTTGTCATCCCCCCCTCCCCGCCACCCCGCAAGCCATCGTTGCATACCTGAGTGGTTGATCAGGATGAGTGGGTCGTCATCCATTTCCACGGCTGTCATTACGTCAAGAAGTCGCGACATATCGCGCGGCTGTTTGCCGATCCCCCTCCCCCTCCCCCACCCCGTTTTCATCATCCCCCGTTCACCCGTCATATTGCCCACCTGTCTCCACGAAAATGACGATTTCTGTTTTCAGACGCGCACTTCCGCGACGATATTATTACTGCGGGCTCGCTCATGGCTGACTAAACGTCGACGCCGGAGCGCCTTAATGCCAAATGAAAAATACATCGGCTCGTCGGCCGATGAAGGTTCGCATCGCGAAACACGTCACGATTGTGACGATACGGACATTAGAGCTCACGTCAAAGCGAACAGAACACGGCGGAAAAATAAACTTGCAAATTACTACGTTGCCATAATTACTGTACTACTCTTCATTATTGTGTTCAATAGAAAATGCGCTAATATACCTTCCTCTTTCTCGCTGCAGAGCGATCAAGAAATATATGAGGGGGGGATTGTTGGATCCACTTATTTCCGTTCTCTGTTTTTAAAATGCGATGCGACTATCGCGACTCGTTTCGTAAGGATACAAATGTCACGTGTATTTCTTAATATATATATTCTATTTATAGAAGCTTTTTTTAATTATGTCAAAATTTCATTGCCAGGAACGGGAGGCTGAGAAGATCGCCGAGGAGGCCGCGGCTCTGCGCGACGTGAAGACGGAACTGCCGCCGGCGAGAAGTCCCGAGACCTGGCACGGCAGTGCTTACTATCGGCATCTCAATGTTCTGAAGGGTGAGCAAGAGATTGGCCGTGTAAATTGGCTTTCGAAGCTTGAGACATACCCCTTCGATGAATCGAAGCGCCGAGAGATACCGGCCACTCCGCTTAAATATAATAAATACAATAAAACGTTTGCGTTTGAAGGCTAAATTAACTATTTATAAGTCTGATTAAAGGATATTTAAAACTCGGAAACTTTAGACTCGTATCGAGTAGCTGACGGATAATTAATTGGAAAAGGATATGCAGACTTCGAAAGTATATTTCAATGTGAAGCGGGTCAGCGAGAATATAGAAATTTATAATATAACGAGTATCAGTAGCGCACGTTATAAATTACCATGATAAATTGAAAACGTCACGGAAACGTACGGACGGGATAATTCCTGGAATTTCCACGAGAGACGGCATTTCCAATTAACGTCGCTCGAAATGCGCTTTTCCGCGATATAATTCAGGGATCCGCGATCCCGGCCTCCGTCGATGTCGCGGAAAATCGTCTCTCGCGCGCGCATTTTACACGAGCGGCTTCTCCGCGCTTCGTTTACACGTTATTCTCGAATGAATAGCCGAGAGAGCTCGCGAGACAGAGAAAGAAAGAGAGAGAGCTCACAGCGCGGATTCAAAGAGTAATTTCGCCCTGCGCGCGTACCGTACACTGTATAGAGCGCTGCCCTCTCCCATTGATATTAGTAATTAATTAGTAACTACCATGGAGATCAAGCGGCCCGGCGAGAAGATCGGAGTTCCAATTAATTAGAGTAATTAGTCGCGACCGGAGTGTTAAGTGGGAACGCGCGGAGAGGGTTGCCTTGATATTCAGACGCGGGGGTGGATCTTCCCAGGCTGGTAATAACGCGGAAATGGGGTGCGGGTGGCCCCTCGGCCGGCCAAGGGGCGTGATTTGCGTCGACGCTTGCGCGTACCTAACGGCGGCCGTTGCCGCGACGTCGAGTGTGTTCCGTTGTCGGCGTCGCGACGCCCGCGATTCCGAGCCCGACGGACGAGATGTATCGCGATATCCCACGGGTTGATACGCGTTTCCTGCGGATTAACTAGAATAGCAGCTGTTGCCAGCTGACTGATGGGGATGCGGGCAGAAGAGAATCTCAGAAGAATTTAAAATTGATATTAAATAAAAGATGTTGCGCCGCAAAAAAAAGTTTTATCATATAAAATAACGCTTTTTTTTGGAAGATAATTGGTTTTGTAATTTCTACACGTTTCTTTTTAAGCTCGCAGGTTAACGAGTGGCACACGAACGTGAAATGTAATTGAAGACCTAAATAAAAATTTAGTTATATGTGTATTAATTAAAATTTTAAATTAAGAATTTCCGAGTCTTTTCCCATGAAATCGTCGGTATCTCTCTATGGAAATATTCTTTTCGTCGATACTCGCAACGAGCGCGATGCGATGATATAATATGTAAGCACAGAGAACATGTTTGCACAAATACGGCGCGCGTTTCAGACGAGACAGTATATATACTTATATGTATATGTACACATACACTTTTATATATGCGTATACTCACATCGTGTGTACACGCACATCGCACGGGGTATATCGATGGACCCATTCAACGCGGGCGTAAGCCGAAAATAACGAGATAGGTGCCGCATCGGCGCGATGAATACGAATACAGGATCATTGGCAGTGAACGCAAGGCACTTTGACTAACGTACTGCCGTCGGAAAAAGCCCGCACTTTCCGATCTCTTCTTCTCTTCCTTCCCTGGCCGCTGCCGCACGATCTTTTCAGAGCCCGTTTTTTAAGTCCGTCATGCAAAAAACAAATCCACCCTCTCTCGTCTGACCCCGTCGTTTTTGCGCAAATTAGTCGAATGAGACTAATCGGTCCATGAATAAATCTTTTGTGAATTCTGAGCATTCCTCTTTAACTCGTTTTATCGACATATCTGTATAAGAAAAAAAGATCTTATCTGAAATGTAAAGATTACTATCTGCCACCGAATTAGAATTGTACTCCTGCACTGAGCATGATATTTCTAATCTTTAATTTCAGTTTAAAAAAAAACTTCTCAAAATTTACTTAAAATTTAATTAATTTTACAAAATTAACTTTTTTAAAACCAAATTAATTATCTTCGAAAGTAGAATTTACTTTCGATAATAAAATTTAAATATTTTAGAAGTATATCGAATATACGAGTACACACGTATTTTTAATTCTTTAATTTGTGCATGATTTTGTCATGTTAGATCGTCTGATAATATCGTCATAAGATCGTCCACGTAGCAAGATGACGTCAAATGACGTTTTAATAACGTCTTATTGATATTAGAGAGACGTTATTAAGACGTTATTAAAACATCATTTGACGTCACCATGCTACTTGGACGCACGTCGAGTCAATTAAGGCTTATACTACTGATTTATTTACGAACAAAGATCTTGTTTCTTTTGAAAGGGAAATAGCGGTGCGCCCGCGAATGGTTGATTTCACATAAACGCGATCCGTCGATGGCGTTCGGCGGGCTGACGCGGCTCCGCTAATTACCGGATGATAATTATTGCAGGGAACGAGCCGGCCGCGGAAAGGGCGGGCTCCGATTGCTCGGCTTGCCGTCCACGCGGTATGTTTTACGGCCAAGTCCACAGTCCGTCCGCGCCGACCAATTAATCGAGCTACAGGGCTGGCTGAATTAATCGGGGCACGCAGAGAGGAGCAGCAGCGACACGAAGAGGAGGACACATTTAACCCGAACCGTTCCGTAAGCTTGCGACACGTCCGTTGCCTTAAAGCGCAGTCTCGTCGATCTCTGTATCCTCGAACTTTAAAGGGTTTGAGGCGCAACAATGGTCTAATGCCTTTTCAAGAGGACTCGAGGGAATTAATCTTGAAGAAATTGAAATTAGATTTAAAATTAATGAAAATATATACAGATTAAGATTATTAAATCGAACGTAGTATAATTATAATTTATAAATCGAATTTTCAACGAGTACTATTTAAATCTAATCTATAACGTTCTGGGACTTGTAGAAAAAAAGGAAACGCGTTGAAGCAGTGTTGCGTCGCAACCCTTCAATTTATGATTCGCTTCACGTTCGCGGCATTTTCGCTGAAATTCGGGCCCGTCAGTTTTGTAGCCGTAAGGCCCTTCTCCGCGGCAAAATCGTGGACCCACCCGCGTCCACTAGCAAACGTTAGCAATTACTTCGTCTCACGTATTTGTGATACCGGCGTGGGAAACAGGCGTCGATTTTATTGCGCGTCGTCAAGCGGCAGGCATCTCGTCACGTCCGGTAATGGATCTTTACTGGCGAAGGACGGCGATTCGTTTTAGCAGTATGTTTGCGCGCGTTTCGTCCTTTTTACGGCGTCGTAAGCGGGCGAACAGATCGATCGAATCGAGAAGCTTGGCAGGAAGAGCTTGGCGAACGTACCCGTTGTGAATATAGAGCGACGCTAGAGTAATGTTCGACGCGAAGGCGCTATACCGTCTTTTCGACAGAGCGTAGGAGAAAGTCACGTTGACATTTACGAATCCGACGAATTTCCAAGCGGATTCGTTAATCGAGTCTCGTATTACTCCGATTGCCGTAATTTTCTAGTAAAATTTCGCGAGAAGCTCAGTATAAACACGCATAAAGAGTGCAGCTAAATGGAGGACAACCGTGACTTCGACTATAACATGAAGATGCGTGATTTACATTCCAGATTTAATTCTTCGTATTAATTTTCTTTGATGACAAGAAAAAAATCGATAAGTTTGAGCGAGATACCTTTCATCTTCTCATCTCTTTTTAAAAAATAAAACTGGATAATCTATGTTTTGTCTATTGCGCAACTATTTCAGTTATTTCCTTCATGAATTATTATACATACTCGTGTTTTTTATTTTGCAAAACGTTGTGATAAAACTAGGCACTATGTTAAATTTCCCATAATAAAAGGTTGCCATATATTTATTGAAAGCAGCTGATTGTTATTTTTATTATCAGGAACTGGTAATAAAAACTGATTATTACGTGACGACTTTTAATGAATTTTATTAACTTATAGATATGTATATATGTAACTGGATATATATATCTAGTTTTCTTCGTAAGAATAATATTATTAACGGACAATTTGATATTTAAATACGAGAACTAATTTAATCCCGATATTAATTTAAAATTAATTTAAATCATGCACTCTTAATGTGATGCATTCAATATAATGCGTTTCCGAGATGGACGTCGGTTACATCAACTCGCAGTAATCTATCGCGATTCCGTCGAGAAGTTCATTGCGACGCTAATCGCTCCCGACGCATCGAGTGAGCTCAGTGTAGCTTAGAATCGATAGACGTTTACCGCGAGGACGATATACAGTGCAATTATAACTCCGTTGCGTAATCGATTTAGGCCGATCGAGGTGAACCAAACGGATACGAGAATTAGAGAAGAGAAAAAGAATTCCCTCCCCCCGCCCCCGCGCTTTTACGCCGTAGACCGCAGCTGTAAGTACCGCCACTCTTAGTAGTTTAACGTACCTACGTAAGTTGCATCATTGAACATATTGTAGATGAACAGCGTGTGTGAAAAATAAAACCACGAGTGTAATCCAAGGTTCTAATAAAAGATCTTGATCGCTGGAAAGGCTCGTGTCACGCAGTCACTCTCACCCCGCCAGTAAATCGACACGGAAATCTGTGCCGTGTATAAGCGTAGCGTTACTCCTATCTGATTTACGGCATAATTCTGCTATATGGCTATATTGCTTTACCTGATTTTTCTTTAATTAAGAACCACGTCGCTTACAAAAATCGGACAGCGATAGCTTTTTACAAGAGGAATTTAAACAATTCGTTCGAGTTGCAGCCGGAATATCAATATACGCGATATACATAGTGATTCGTGAAACTGATTAAATAACAACTATTTACAACTAATTAATTTAAAGAAGACAATCAATAAAAACGGTTTTTCAATATCAATGTAACATATAAAATAAATATCTACAATCTTGCTACAGATGTCTTCATTCACGAATTTTCAAAAAAAATTTTTAAATATCCGTTGAAGATTTTAAGTATCATTTTTATCATTTTACTGAAGATGGCTCCAAAAAAAAACTGAAACGTACAGCTAATTAAAACTCTGTTCCTGTCAATCAATTGTTATTAAGTTATTTTTTGCGCACCAATTACTCGTATTCGCCGTTTTTATTTATTGAATTTTTTTGTTTGAAATTTTTACTCTCAAAATCTGAATCAGTGGATAATCACTGATTATCACAGGTACCAAGTATGTCACTGATAATCAGTGAAATTCAACTTTATTGTCTCTCAGAAATCATTAATAAATAATCATTATAATCGCTGACAAATCAATAGATTTCGTTGTTCTCCCTAATTGCACAGGATTCGGCTCTGTTTCACTTATTTCATTAGCAAGACGTTACTGATTCAATCATGAATTTCTTCCGCCGATTCAGATTTAGAGAGTATAACAATAGAACGTATTGATGAGTTTCGCGAGTAAGCTGTACGTCAAGCTCGGCGTGGTTTTTTTTTAAGCGACAGTTTCATCGAAGTTTCTTTGGCACGGCACGATCCTTATCCTTACTTTCGCGACGCGCGTTACTGCGCTAAAACCACCGACATACGTTATCGCGAGAGACGCGACGTTCCGGCCGTTTTGCCGCAAGAAACAAATCTTTTTCAATTACGGAAGGAACTATACCTACTACGACTGCGTTGCGGGACGTACGTTGTAATCTTGCACGTCGCTTATATCCCGGCCCGTGTAAAATCCTTGGGGAGCCCTCCGACGCGCGCTTCGTGGTACGTAAGGACGCTTCAGTGAGCAAAAACCCTTAACTGATACAGCCCTGCTGCGGTCCCCGGACGGTCGTCAGCAGAATTCCGGATCTGGACCACACATGGTACTTACGCTCTCGAAAGCACTCACTGTCGCAGGCACAAAGGTTGCTCGGAAATGCACGATTGATAGAATTATACATATCCAGTCGGCAGATGTAATCTTTCTCTGTGATGTTAAATGTAGTAAAAAAGTGCTGATTATTACAAAAAAAATCTCTCTCTTTCTCTCGAAGTTGTTTTAAAGTTTTTGCATTAATCTTAATTTAACATTTGCTGTTACATAATTAATTATTATTAATTATAAATTATTAATTTTAAAGGAAATAAAAAAATTCAACGCGTGTGTTGATCAAAAGACAATCATAACAGCTAGATTTTTTAATTATAATATTGTAATTACTTCTGTTTTCTCTTTTTCTTTCCTTCGATATTTAATTTTAAAAAATTTCAGCGCGTGCGTTGGTCAACCATTTAAAAGACAATCATAATGGCTAGATTTTTTAATTATAATATTGCATTTAATTATACTTCTATTTTCCCGTTTTCTCTCCTTTAATAATTTATACAAAATTCAGCGCGTGTGTTGGTCAAGCATTTAAAAGACAATCATAATGGCTAGATTTTTTAATTACAATATTTTATTTAATTCTTCCGTTTTCTTTTTTTTCTCTCCTTCGATATTTACTTTCAACTTTAGCTCAGAAAAATTAATTTTTCTTTTAAGAAAGAAAAGAAAAAGAAAATGACGCTTGAAGCTTCAATGCAACGCGGATATTCTGTATAATATTGGTACTGAATGGTGGATCATGGCAAGTGAGTGTCAATAATGGACGTCCGGAAAAAGCATCGTCTGCGTCTAATGTTCCGGCAAATTGGCTTCGCGAATGTAGCCTCGCGAGTCGTCTCCCAGGAGGAATCTGCAAGTACGAGCGGAAGAGATTCTTCTCGTTGCGCCGATTTTTTTCCCCCGTAAGTACGTCACGTCTCGACGATACCGGGGGATATATCCGTCCGCGCGCGCCTCTCGCCGAAATCGGCTCCGTTCCGCGAAGCCAACCAACCCCATATAACTGGGAGTATTTGTAAGGAAACGAGAGACGAAGATTCTCTTCACAATCGCGCACGTAATCGCGCTCTCGTGGCTGCGTAAAATTGCCCGGAAAGAAAGGAGATATACAGCCAAAAAGAAAGGGGAAAAAAAGGATCGTGGTAAGTCAAACTGGAGAGGCGGCGTTTCAGAGGTCGAAATGAAAGATGTAACGAGATCTAATCGCCATAGTGAAACGTTAAAAAATGTGTAACGTGTCTTTTTACTCTTATAATTTTGTTACACGTATTTAATTAATTTTCTAATTTATTTAAATGTATCTCGTCATAAGTTATATGCCAGAGATAAAAATGTTCTTTCCTCCTCCCCCCCCCTTCTCCTCCGCGAAAGGAAGGACGTAATTTAGGATTTCGAGAGAGAAATCGACGATGGCATCGCGAATCGATTCGCTTCGCGCCACTTACGCGCGCTCCTCCATCTCGCGCAAAGGTCGCGTATAACGAGCCGCGATTTAAATACGCGCTTCAATCGTCCACAATAGGGACGCCGGGGCGGCGCGGGTATTTAAAGAAATATTTTAATTGCAGGACGTAAGCTGCTTACGTGTCCCCTCTCTCGTATACGTTAATAAAAACAGCCCCACCCGCCTATTTTCAAGAAAGCGGCTCGCATTGCGTGACCTCGTGGAAAGTAATTCGACCTAGCTCTTCTCGTTTCGCTCGGCTAAAAATTGTTTCGCCCCCTCGCATCGCCCCTCGC